CCGAAGGCGACGTTAGGCATTTTGGACCGCCCTCAAACGCTCCTCGGCAGCTGGCAGGCCTGCCGCGGCCTCTCTGTGGCCTGTCCGAAGCCTGCCCTTCTCTTCTTATGGGCTTCCAAAGGCAACGTTAGGCATTTTGGACCGCCCTCAAACGCTCCTCGGCACCTGGCAGGCCTGCCGCGGCCTCTCTATTTCGGCGCGTCGTGCTTGCTCTCCGGAACTCGCCAGCTGTTTGTCGGGCATTGTTTTCCTGACGGTGTGTTGTGTGTGGCCTGAATGCGCCCGAAGAGCAGCGTTGACCAGACCACACTGTGGCACGCGGGGCACCTTTGCGGATGCTGGCGTGTCTGCGCGCTAACAGCGCCTTCTTTGACGTAAAACTGGTTGTCGCACACGGTGCGGTGATCTATTTTCCCTGTTTTCACTTTGCTTGCTACGGGCCCTTTGCAAAATGGACAAACGTAGTCATACTTCCTGGCGGCAACGTCTCCGTCTTTGACACGAAAAAACTTCCCGCACGCCCGGCGGTGATCTATTTGGCCTGTGCGCACGCTGCTGCTCACCGACGCCTCACAAAAAGGACACGCATATTGGAACATTTCCTTCCCGGCTGTCCGTCCGAGCAACTTTGCCGGCGCTGCGTTTGTCTTCTTTGCGGCTCTCGCAGTGGCCTGCGTATCTTCTTGCGGTCTTGCCTGCGAGTCTGCGCGTTCATCGTCTTGCGTTGTAGGCCCGCCCTCTGTTACACTGTTTCGTTGTGGCGCCGGCACTGTCCTGGCCTTGGCGTTTGTGCCCGTTTGGGTTTCGGTTGGAGCTAGACCTTTCTCACTTTCCTGTTCTCTTTGCAGTTTGTGGTCTGTGCGCACTTGGCTGCTCACCGACACGTGTTTTGCACGCTTCGCTACAAGCACTGCCGGTGGTTCCATGTGTCTTTTGCGCGACGGCTTGGTGTCTGTTGAGACACTTTCTGCTTCAATTTCCGTCTTGCTTTGGGCCGTCTGCCTTTCTTCTCTCCGGTTCGGCTCCTGCGCCCGGGGAAAGGAGCACCTCATCCTCGGCTTGCTTCTGTCGCACACGGTCAGCGATCTCTTCCCGTACAAGACCTATATGACTTGCTGTCTCTTTTCTTCGGCTACTTTCGTCCGCGTCGCAGCCAGGCGCCGTATGGCTCTATGCGCGATACTTCGTGGCAACCGCTGCCCGTGGCAGCTGTAGACCCGTGCATCCGCCCGGGCAGGCCGTCCTCTGCGCCGCGCACGTCTGTTGTTTGCGCGCTGCGCTGCTGCGCGCTTGGCCGCGCTGAGGACACAAGCGTTGCAACGCTGCGTTCCGTCTTGCGGTGCAGCGCGCTGCCTGGACCAGGCGCTGAAGTCATTGCGCGCCTTACGTTCCGTGCACACGGCGCAGCGCCACGCACCCTTGACTTTCATGGCGCAGTCCCTGCAGGCACGTCGGTCTGCATGGCGCCCTTTCCACGCGGCCGCCCCGAATGCACTTTCCGGCTTGGCCGTACCGCGCTTGTAGCACCGCTTCTGTGCCTCGCACGTCTGGCACACGCGGTAGAACGTGCATTGGGGGCGCGCGTACATTCTTGCAAAGGCGTCTTCGTGCTTCCATGCCTTGCAACTGTTGCATTGCCAGGGCGTGTTGTTGGCTGCGTAATTACGCACGCATTCTCTGCACACACGTGCGTCCGCGTCCCGTTTCCATTGCCCGGCGCTGTACCCGCTTTTGGGTTTACTTTCGTGGCACTCGCGACACACTTCCTCCTCGCGGTGCCGCATGCGCAACGTTGCCCAGTCAATGCTCTCTCCGCGCCAGGCCTGCAACAGCAAAGCTCTCCCTACGCTGCGTCCTTTCTGATAGGGTGCAGCATCGAAGGGTCTGTATATGTGTAACCCGTGTCTGTCTTTCACTCGCGTCACAGCGATGTATGCGGTCAGAGGGTCTCCGCCTTCGCCGATCTGCATGTCCGTGACCGCCCCTTCTGCGTAAGTTTGGCCCTGCGCCGCGTGCGCCGTCGTTGCAAACCCGGGAGCCAACGGAAATTGCCGTCGCACCACCCACAGCATGGGCCGCTTTCGGCCCTTGTCCAGATGCCACGCTTGCCGTTGGAGCGTCACCGGAAACACGTTGTCCGTGGCCAGCCCCTGCACTCGCCACTCGGACTTAGTCTGGAACCGGACAAAGACACAAGTTGGGAGCTGATTCCAAATATGCGTCGTACTCCCTGCTGCTGTGCCCGCTGCTTCATGCCAGCTCCATCCAACAACTGTGCCAGGACATCCCTTCAGTATGCCTCTGCGGCGATCCAAGTGATCTGCGGCGATCTTCTTCTTCTTCTTCTCCTTCTGCTTCTTCTTCTTCTGCTTGCCATTCTCCAGCCACGCAGATAGACCTGCGGCCGTCCACAGGAAGTGCTACGCGCAGCAACAGGGCTGCCGCAGCACAAGCCTTGCTGGCTCAGCACCTGGGCTGTC